CATTCTCCTGAATGTGAAGTGCCTGTACCTACTATATGGAACCTGCTTCACCTGGTTAATGACATACCCTGAACATCTTTCCATGTCAGGTAATAGTCTTCTACAATCCATATGAATTGTCATTTTAAAGGAGTTGTATTATTCAGCTGTATGTATGAACATGCATACTTTCCAAAATAATCCTCTATTGTTAAATATTTAGGTTGCTTCCAGTTTTTTTCCTATTAAAAATGATGATGAAATAAATACTTTATGGCTATTTTTTGCACACATGCTTAGTTATTTCAATGGTATGAATTTACAGATAGGTTACTGTTGAATCAGATAGGAATGTGTGAGGCTTTTAATTCATAATTCTAAATTGCCTCCACTTAGTTTGAAATGGAAAAAGTCAAGAGTCCTTCAGTGAAGAACCACCCACACTGCCACCGCCAACCCCAAAGATTTAACTGGAACATATTTACACTTACGAGAAAAAGAGAAATTGGTATGAGAATTTGGTCAATAACATAAAAGTTGTATCAGTCAGCTCTTTTGCCAGACGGCTTGACAATTCTGGAAAGATGAAATTCTTTCTAATTTTCATCTTGGATCTGGGGGAAAACTTTTTTTCAGAGAAGTATGATTACCTTCTTTCTAACCTGATTTTTGTATATCTCATCTGCCATTCTTGCCCAGGATGTGATAGGAAAATGAAAAGAAAATAGAGTAATAGCAGACACTCTGCCAAAGAGTTCCTGTAGCAGTTAACTTGTACTTGAAATTCTAGAGAATTTGTATGCAATGTCTATAGAAAAAAAATTTTTTTCAATTGGTATGTCTAAATTAGTGCATATGATGTGCCAAATCTCTGCATTAGAAATTCTCCAGAGAGTTTTCTTCTCTCTGAGAAACTGGGTGATTTTACCAAAAGCATCCTATTTCATCCCTCATTGCTTGTTAGGGAAGATGCTGCAGCACTGACCTGGCAGCAGGTATGTGAACAGCCATCCTAGGTAATTAGAATGACCTGCTCTGGCTAAGTCACCTCAGTAACAACCATGGCCTAATCATGTGCCCCCCAAATCAGTGCCTCTCAGGCTTAGTTGTGCATCAGAATCACCAAGGGCTGTTAAAACACAGATTGCTGGACCCCACCCTGAGAGGTTCTGATGCAGTAGGAGTGGGGAGGGCCTGAGAACCTGCATTTCTAACAACTTCCAAGGTGCTGCTGGTTAAGAGGCTGCACTATGAGAACCACTGCCATCATTGAGAACACCTTGCACCCTTCTCCCTCCGAATAGCTTTGGATGATTATTTAGGTGAGGGATTAAGAGGAAGGAAGCTAAAAGAAACAAAATAACTATATAAATTGTGATAGTCATGATAAAAAGTTCACCATGCTAGTGTCACAGGATCATTTGGGGTGTCACAGAGGCCGGAAACCTCTGTGGCTGGTGACACCTGTGCCTGAATTTTGCTCGGGCCCACTGGGTTTGTTCTGCGCACTCGACCTTGCAGACTGCGCTTGGCTCATGATGCTGGCCTGGTTCCCATGCCCGCCAATGGAGACTGCGTGGAGCGGTGAGGGGTGTGTGAGCAAGTGTGGGGTCTGGCCACTGTGCAGTCAGACATGCCAGCTACTGCAGCAGGGCAGGCAGCTCCAGGTGCCAGCATGGGTACTGGCTCTCTGCGAAGCTGCAGCTGGACCAGGTGCATCACAAGCAGCTTCCACGGTTGGCAGCTGGGAACACAGTGGCACCCAGAAGCTTGGAGATGCCAGGAACTGTGGGGCCCCAAAAAGGACATCCCAGCCCTGGCTCAGGCAGCTCCTAGGTCTTGGGTCCCCAAAGGGCCACAGCTCTTCTTTTCTTCTTTGCCCGCAATGTGACAAGCAAGGTGCATGTCTCAGTCCTGTTGGTGTTGCAGCTCTTTCAGCCTCACCATTCGGTGGGTCCCAATTTCTTGTCCTGAGACCAGGAAGAATAAGGTATGCAGACAATTTGAGGGTGAGGAAGATGGAGAGGAGCTTTATTGAGTGATAGAACAGCTCAGAGGAAACCCACAGTGGGTAGCTCCTTTCCACAGCCAAGGTGTCCCAATGAGCGTTCAGCTGCTAGCAGAGAGGATAGCTCCTCTCTGCTGGGCAAGTCATCCTGACAAATGTTTAGCTATCAGTATAGAGGGTAGCACCTCCCTGTAGCTGGTCCTCTTGTCTGCAGCTCTCAGCAGAGGAGAAGAGTGGGTGGCTCCTCCCTGAAGGCAGGTCATCACAATGTGGTCTCTCTGTGCTCTCTGTAGCTCGTCATCCTGATATCTGCAGCTCTAGCAGAGAGGAGGCCCTGGAGTGGGTAGCTCCTTTCTGCAGCTGGGCATCCCGATGTCTGCTTGGCTCTGGCTGAGCTCAGGGCTTTATGGGGCTCAGAGGGGAGGAATTACATGCCAATTGGTCCAGAGGTGGCCATGGGTGGGCCCAGAAAAGGCACCACAAGTTCCCACTCTGGTCTGCTGGACTGGCAGCCCAGCCCCCAGTCTTTAGGCTCTCCCTGGCCTGAAGGTGGGGCCTCACTGGGTACCCACTCTCTTCTGCCCAGGATCCTGTCTGCCTCCTGCGGCCCTCCATGGTGCCCAGGCTGCTCGTGCCAAGGGGCACCTGCAGGCCAGTGTCAGGCTGTCTTCAGCTCCACCTTGGCCTTTCTCTTGTGCTTCCCGGTGCCCAAAGTCCAGAGGGGGCCAAGGCAGCAGGGGTCTGGTGTATCAGCGCTGCCCTGAGCATGTGCACTCCTGGCCGGACTGCAACAACACCTAGGCTTGGCTCCACATTGCTCTGAGATTGGAACAGGTGCTGACAGAGAATCCAGGCAGCAGAAGCAGGCACTTCCAAGCCTGCAAGGGCAGGCGGGGTGGTCTTCTTAGGCCCCCAAGGGTACAGGGAGACTCGGGTCCACAGCCCTGACTTGGACAGCTGTGGTCACACTCAGGAAGGTGGGGCTCCTGTCTGCTGTGTGGAGCACGAGGCCCAGGTCTACAGCTGCAACTTGAGTGGCTGCAGCTGCACCCAGGAGGGCAGGCTTCCCTCTGCTCCTGGGCCTTGAGAGCACAGGGATGCCTGAGTTGTGGCTTGGGTGGCTGCAGTGGCACCTCGGGAGCTCCCACCCCAACTTGGAAGGCTCCCACTAGCTCCACAGAGCATGTAGCCCCAGCAGTACCTCCCTGCTGCAGCCGGTGTGATTTCAGTGGCTGCTCCAGACAGCCCGCTGCCATCACAAGGGCTACAACTACGTTTCATTCATGAGATTATATTTCTTTCCCTAAGGAATTGCTGGAGTTCTCTTTCTTTGAATTGGTATCAACTGACAACAAGCGTCTCTGGACAGGGATAGAGATGGCAACCTAGATCACATAGCAACTCTGACGATTGAAATTTTCACTGTGCTTACTTTGGTGGCTTTAGTGACTCATATTTATATGATATGCATAAAACAGCACTGGTAGATGGCTTAAGATATTTTCAATTCTGTATATTATAAGTCCCCAAATAAAATATATAGTCTTTGAGGCAAGGAGCCTATTTTCTATCACTTCAGGGCACTTAGCATCTAGTCAGCATTCAATATATGTTATTAATCAACTCAAGATAAGGGAGTTCATCTACAAGGCTCACTGAACTATTAAAATATGTGACAAGGAAATACTTAGGAAGGTATAGGAGGTATGGTAAAACTGTGCATCACAGGGTTAAATGGACCAAAGGACAGGGCTAAAAGGGATTTTGGTGATTAACAAAATGTATGAGCTTGTTTATAAGATGTCCACTTGCTAAACCATAGGGCCAGTTAAAACCAGCCAGAACCAATATGGCTGGATGGAGCTTGTGCAAAGGAGATTAGCTTGCTGGCTGGGTGACCTTTGACATTATAGCCCAAATTTCCAGCACATGTTTTATACCAGTTCCCAACCCCTGAATTTACACATGTGACCTGTGAAGGATAACTGTATGCCCAAGAGATTTTCCTAACTTCCCTTTCCTTTCCACCAGTCCTTAACTACCCCCCAAATCCTCCTCCTAAAGCCTCTGACCTTAAATATACTACTTGTGAGCTGAGATGAGGAGATAGATTTGAACCCATCTCCTATCTTCTTGTTTGGCTGCCCTGCAATAATCCTTTCTTTCTAAAAAATTCAGCACTTCAGTGATTGGGTTTCTGCCATGCATGGTCAAACAGACCCAGATGGGTTGTGTAACAGTGGTAGACTATTACATGTCGTCACACGGTCCCTTCTACACTGATACAGGACTTGGCCATGGGACTTGCTTTGGCCAATGAAACAGCAGCAAATGTGACCGAACAGAAGCTGGATAAGCACTTGCACATTGGGACTTGTCCTCTCCAAATGCTTCCTCTTGGAAGTCATCTGCCATTCTATAAAGAAGTTCAAGCTAGATCACTGAATGATGAGCAACCACATAGAGAATAAGAGGCTGTCAAGGATACGTAAGTCTCAGTGAACTTCCAGGTAAATGCACCTGACGAGTGACCTGAGGTATTGCACTTTGGTGCTGAAGAACTGCCAGCTGAGCCCTGCCAACCACCAACTCTTAAATAATGGGAGGAGATTGTTATCAAGTAATAGACAACTGAAACAGAAAGAATGCAAAAGCAGAATATATTAAAATCTAGAAAATAATTCAATAATTACATATGAGATTCCCCCCAGGGAATTTCTGCTTTTGTGATACTTGTAGGATAGTCCTATGCTGAAATCTGAGAATAAAAATTCAAACTAAATGTCAAGAAAATTTTAGTCATTTTTTAATTCCCTCAACAGTCTTTTGTTGGCCTTCTGTTATGAGCCAGGCTCCGTGTGAATAGAGAAGACAGGGAAGGGGAGAGAGATGAGGGAGTTCATTTCCCCCCAGCACAGGGTGCTAAGTGTTGTGAAGGACAGCTGGGGGGAATACAGTGGAGAGTGGGAGGAAGGGCAGAGCTGAGGGAACTTCCCAGAAAAAGGTGGCCCCAGAGGGAAAGATTTTGGTGGCTAATGACTTTTATGGAACCCTAACTTGGGATGATTTAATTCCAGGTATCTTTATGAAACTTAGCATTTAAAAAAGACAAATGGAGAGTTAGATAAGGAGAGAGAAGCATTTCTTATTTATTTAAAGATTCCAAATACAACTCTTCATAAGATATGAATGATTCGTCTTGGCTCCCTTAACGCACATCCTGGACACATGGCCAAGAAACTGCTTCCTTCAATCACCATGACAGAGTGCCTCGTGTAACAATGTTCTGCACCTTCCCCTCCCTTCCCCTACCGACACCCATCCTCACACATGCTCCTCCCTGCCCCTGACACTGACAACCTAGCAATCACTAGGAGAAAAGCCTGGCATGTGTGGGAGCCACCCTCAGAGAAGCTGTCCCGAAAGAGAGGTGCTAACTAGGTGAAGACATATGACTTTCTGAGCACTATTTCTTAATACTAATGGAGGGAGATTGTGGCAAGGAGCCAGGAAACAGAAAAGGCATGAAAAGAAGAACTAATTTGGAGCTGGCGGGGTGAGTGTTTTCTGGCTTATTTAAAAACGTAGATACAGAATTCAAACAGGGAAGAGGGATCTGACTACCAGATGGAGATAGGATGTCAACAATGGAGTCGACAATGGCCAGGCATGAAGGGATCTATTTTGACACTAGGGAAGCCATATAAAGAATACTGCTTGGTGGATCGGGTGGGTTCATCTTATATTCGGTGTTTCATTTCCATTTAAATGCCTTGGAAGCAGAGGTTGAGGTTACTGACTTGGCCCCATATTAAGGAAAAATCATAACCCAGGCCTTCAGAGACCTTCCAGGCTACAAGGGAAAAAGTCAAACATGTGGCTAATGGGCACATATAAGGATCTTCACTGAACACGGACTTTTGAATGTCTATGATGTAGCAAGCACTGTGCTGGACACCACATAAGCCAGAGTCCCTTCCCTCAGGGAAATCCCTTAAACATGGCAAACCTATGGAGGTGTGCCAGGACCAGGGCACTCAGAAGGGTGGGAAGCTCACAGACCACCCTGCTTTGAGTGCCTCTCAGCCGCTCTCTTGCTCTGTGATTTTAAGGAAGTCCTTGAACCTCTCTGAGCCTGCTTTTTCCATCTGCAGATCGGTGATAATGAAACCTACCTTGCTGTTTCACGTTGAGGAATCACTGCGGGAAGGTAAGGTCATAACAATCTGTCAGAAGGAGAAGGAAGGTCAAAGCTTTGTTGAAGAGCTTTATGCTATTGGCCAAATGGAAACATAGAGCCCCGCATGTGGTAGCTCTCAGGGGACATGGTTGCCTCGTGGATAAAAATGTGAGAATTAGAAGAACAGAAAAAGCCAGCAGGGAAACTTAGAGGAAAGCGTCAGAGAGAACAAGGATGTTGTCTGTCTCCGGTATAATTGTGTAGAGCCTGGGATTCATTGCTAGTGACGTTCCCTGGCTTCTCCCTCAGTGTGACATCATGTGCTCTGTGATGTTTATTGCACTGCATTCCAGGGATGCTGCGCATGGGATTCTGACATGTCCAGTGTCAGAAACCTTGGAAAATAGTCCTTGGTTTAATTTTAACTTTTTATATAAACAGTGACCTAATTTGAGGAAGGCTCAGTCTGGCCAGGCATCCCCGCTCCCACATTTCCTCCTCTTCACTCCCTCCTTCTGCCCTTAGTCAAACCGTCTCGCCTTCATCTCCCATATGGACTTTGCAAACAGGCAAGGGGGATGTGTGAGCTCATCTAACTTGAAAAGAGAAGACGTGTGCCAGCGAAGCAAAACACTTCAGCCAAGTCATGCACCTCTGCAGGAGGGAGCCACCTCCTCAGCTCTCATCGTGAAATGTTATCTCACCAGGGCAGATGGAGGTACAGGCAGAGGACTCCAACGCAACACAAACAGCCGCCCATCCAGAAGAGAGCCCTTTCTCTTCCTCCCAGTCCCAGCTCCAGCTGTATTTTTTTTTTCTTTCTTGAGCAAGAGGTCAGGTTCCCTCTGTATGCTTTGTGCAAATTAAGTGAGCTGTGAGTGCTGCGTGGGGCTGAAGGAACTACCCTCTGGTCTATGGTTCATCCTTCCTTCACTCCAACCACCACTAAGGGAGCTGAGCCCTCCCTGCCCGAATGCACAGATGGGCGGCCCCTCTGAAAACACAGAGGAATATGAAATGACCCTTCTAATTACCCAGGTGCAAGCAGAGGAGCTAACCATCCCACTGGGAGCCCACCCATGAGTGATGAATTCCAGTGACTGAGCCCAGTGTGGGGGGAACAAGACAGAGGCTAGGGTAGAGGAAGTCTCCTGTGGACACGGTGGGTGGGAGGGAGGGATGCACGAGGGGACAAGCAGGATGTCCTGACAGATTTTAACCCAGAAGCATGAATCCAGGTCTGAGCTCAGCAAACGTTTTCTGTAAAGGGCCAGATAGTAAATAATTTGTACTCTTTGTGGGCCATCAGTCTCTGTCTACTCGACTCTGCCATTGTAAGGCAAAAACAACCACAATCAGTAAATGAACGGGCGTGTCTGTGTTCCAATAAAAGATGGTTTACAAACAGGCAGCTGCTGGATCTGGCCCACTGGCTATAGTTTTCTGACTAAAAGATCTAAAAGAACACCCTTTCCCGTTGGCTCTGTCCATGTTTCCATGCAGCTAACAATATCCTGGAGAGACCAGTTTGCTGCCCCATTCCCCAAACCTTTATGTGCCTCTGATTTCTACACCCTGTTACTCTGTCTGCAAAAACCCCCAAATGCTGGAACTGGCTATTCACCTGGACAGGATGGCCTCCTTCAGTGAAAGTCAGCAGGGATGGTGAATTCAGATTTCCTGATTTCGTTGACAAATTCCTCACCACTGGCAGGAATGGGAAAGACAGACATTGAAGGTGCCGAATCCCACCCCTGCTGTCAGTTCAGGAGTGAGGTAAAAACATTCCTTGAGCAATTTGGTTTAGAATTATAGAGCCTCCTGGCCGGGCGCGGTGGCTCAAGCCTGTAATCCCAGCACTTTGGGAGGCCGAGGCGGGCGGATCACAAGGTCAGGAGATCGAGACCACAGTGAAACCCCGTCTCTACTAAAAATACAAAAAATTAGCCGGGCGCGGTGGCGGGCGCCTGTAGTCCCAGTTACTCAGGAGGCTGAGGCAGGAGAATGGCGGGAACCCGGGAGGCGGAGCTTGCAGTGAGCCGAGATCGCGCCACTGCACTCCAGCCTGGGCGACAGAGCGAGACTCCGTCTCAAAAAAAAAAAAAAAAAAAAAAGAATTATAGAGCCTCCTATTTTCTAATCCTTCTCTTTTTCCAGGTCCAATAATCTGAATATTGGCACTTCTACTTTGTTCCCCATATTTCTTACCTTTTATTTTTTGTTTTCTATTACTTCATACGTTCCTCATGCTTTCTAGAAAAGCTCCTTAGTCTAATATTGCAACCCATAAGTTCCTTCAGCTATACTCCCTCTACCATTTTCCCCATTCATTGCTATGTTTTGATTGGTTTTGTTTTGTTGTTTTGTTTTGAGTCAGGGTCTTGCTGTGCTGCCCAGGCTAGACTCAAACTCTTGGGTTCAAGGGATCATTCTGTCTCAGACTCCCAGGTAGCTGGGATTACAGGTGTGTACCACCATGCCTGCCATTGAGATCTTTAATCAAGTGTGAGACCCGGTGGAATGGTTAAGGGCTGGACACAGAGATAGATTACTTGTGTTCAAATCCCAGCTCTGCCTATAATTGCAGACAAGTTACTTAACCTTTCTGTGCCTTACTTCCCTCATCTGCAAAATGGGCTTTATAATAGCGCCTGTCTTATTCTAGTGAGTATATAAATGAGCAATGTTCACAGAGCACTGGGGAGAGCAGCATAGTTGAATCCACATTATTTTCAGACCTAATGCTTCCAGTTCTTTATTCCTACAATTTCTTCCCAGTATTTTATATTGATATTACCTTCCCTTATTTCTTCACTCATATTAATCAGAATCCATTTGAATCCCAACTCTTGCAACACTTCTTCACAGTTTGTGGCCCTTTTCAGCAGTACTCAGCAGGAGCAGGGTCGTGCCCAGGTGAACTTGCAGTCCCCCAGAATACCACTGAGGGGTTCCAGTGCTGCGCATCCCAGAGGGCCACGGGAGTGGCAGGGCATAAGCGCCAGGGCAGGGTGGGAGCCCAGCCACCCAAGACACTGTCCGTCACTCACCAGAAACGTCTGTGGGGAGGTTTAACTTGAAACCCTTAGAGTGATTCAGCACGTGTAGGTGGCTGTCTCCAAGGTGGCCACCCACCAGCCTGGGGGCTAAGAGTGAAGGTTAGCGGGATCCTGAGTGCAGCTGCTCAGACGCCCTCTATTTTCATCAACTCCCCCTTCCATAAGGGTTTCTTCTGCCAGATATGAGTGCTGCCTCACCCCCACACCCTCAGACAACAGAGCACCAGCACCAAGCCACTGTAGCCATTTCTGTGCTGGGGCAGTCAAGGCTTGTCCTCAGGCAACTCCCGGGTGGAGCAGATGTGGGGACACCAGAGCAGAATTTGTAAAGCTGACTTCCAGCCTCTTCTCCCAAGATGGCTTTGGGCCTCTGCCCTCAGCCCCCAGCTGTAGCCACTATGTCCCCCGCCCCACGCCAGACAAGACAAGCTGCTATCACTCCAGAGATTTCTCAAGGTTTTCGGTTGTTGCAAGTGTTGTCAGTTCCTGGAATTCATCTTTCCCTCTTGCTTCTATGGCTTCTCAAGGGTTGATTTTGGCAGCAGGAGCCTGTACACTGTGCTAATTCTCCATCTCAGGAAGAAACAGAATCATGAAGTCTAAAGAAACTGAGGTACTATTCAGCTTTCTGTCCTAGGTATCACTCTCCTATGATTGTCCAAATAAGATGTCATTTGGGCCGGGCACCGTGGCTCACACCTGTAGTCCCAGCACTTTGGGAGGCCAAGGTTGGTAGATCACAAGGTCAGGAGTTCGAGACCAGCCTGGCAAACATGGTGAAGCCCCATCTCTACTAAAAATACAAAAATTAGCTAGGCATGGTGGTGGGTGCCTGTAATCCCAGCTACTCAGGGGGCTGAGGCAGGAGAATCGCTTGAACCCAGGAGGCAGAGGTTGCAGTGAGCCAAGATCGCACCACTGCACTCCAGCCTGGGTGACAGAGCGAGACTCCGTCTCAAAAAAAATAAATACGTAAATAAAAGATGTCCTTTGGTCTCTGCTTCAAAAGCCCCACCAATAGAACACACATGCATGAAGGGATGGGTCTGCTCATTTTTTGCACTTTTTACTGAAAAATAACATACATACAAAAAAGTACATAGGTCATAAGCTTGACAGACTTTCACAAAGAGAACACACAGAAATATTCTGCACTGAAATCTAGGAACTTTACAGGTAGGCTTGTTCATTTAATATGTCTAGCTGCTGTAACCAAGAGCTATCACAAGAGCGTCCTTGTTATAGCAAAGAGTTCCATTTCTATAATTTCCACCAACTGTTTCAGTGTTTCAGTGCTATGAAGTTACACAAAATAAGTGCAATGTTTTCTTTAAAAAACAAACAAACAAAAAAAAAAAACTTTCTTAGAGCCAGATGTGGTGGCTCATTCCTGTAGTCCCAGCTACTCAGGAGAATCTTTTGAGCCCAGGAGTTCAAAACCAGCCTGGGCAACAGAGCAAGACCCCATCTCTAAAGAAAAGTTTTCTTTGTTTTTTGTTTGTTTGTTTGTTTGTTTACTTTTAAGCACTTAAAGTTACATATTTGTTTCCCCGTGAGAAATCTTTTTGTCCCCCAACTTATATAATCTTACTTCTTTCAACCAGTTTTGTTGTAACAAGATGGTACTACAATGATGAAATATGAAAATCTACAGGGTGGGAGGACTGACAGGCAAAAAGATGTTTGGAGAACAGATGTTTAGGGACAGAAAGTGACTTTCTGGGATAGTAACAGCTGTATGAGGAGAAAAATAGAAACAGGATGGTGTTGGCCAGCAACAGCAACCCAGTTCTTTTCTGCTGAGTCACACTGGAGGGTTTGGTTTCTCTGAGCCTCCCAGGTGGGCAGACACTGTGTTCAGAGAAAGCAAGAGATATCAGCTGCAGAAAGAGGTCTTTCAGAGGGCCTGACACGAGGCAGTGGCAGCCCAAGAAACCAGGGCAGTACAATCAGAACTGACAGCAGGGAGATGACAGCTTATCTGAGGTGGTACTGAGCAAATGTCCTAGATGCTTCCAAGATTCAGCCAACCCTCATCTGAGAGTTAACTATAGAAGCAAGTGCCCTCCAAGTTCTCACTGACAGCCAAGGAGAGGGAATAAAGCATTAGATGTTGAGGATGACATGGATGAGAATTGCAGATTGAGATAACTGAGGAATTGATGCTTGGTGTCAAGATACAATAGAAATGCTTATGTGGACAACATGAAGCATGAGCCTGGGGCCATGGGAAGGGAGTGGGCTAAGTGGGTGTGCAAAGTGAACATATTAAACAGGAATCGTTGGACATGCCTTAGGAAAATCAGGGCCTTCTTCTCCTTCTCTTCCTCCTTCCTTTTCTTCTGTATTAGTCCATTTTCATCCTGCTATGAAGAAATACCCAAGACTGGGTAATTTATAAAGAAATTATTTACAATTATAAATTATAAAGAAAATGAGGTTTAATGGACTCACAGTTCTACACAGTTGGGAAAGCCTCACAATCACAGTGGAAGGTGAAGGAGGAGCAAAGGCACATCTTACATGGTGGCAGGCAAGAGAGTGTGTGCAGGGGAACGGCCCTTTATAAAACCATCAGATTTCATGAGACTTATTCACTGTCATGAGACCAGCATGGGAAAATCCACTCCCATTATTCAATTACATCCCGCCAAGTACCCCCATGACACGTGGGGGTTATGGGAGCTATAATTCAAGATGAGATTTGGGTGGGGACACAACCAAACCATGTCATATTCCCTAAATACTGGGTGAATTTAATACAAGGTATGGAAAAAGAACCCCTGAACTTGCATGGTCTCAACTATGCATAATATCTGTGCATACATTTACGTAGGTATTTTATATGTTCTTTTGTATACTGTTTTCTTCTTCAATTTAATTGTTGTTCTTTGTGTGTACAGAAAATCACTGAAAATAAAAGTGGTGTGATTGGTCTATTCCATGTACAGAAACTACATGTCTTATGTCTTTGTTACTAGGATAGGTGTTTATAGCTTCTCCTGGATGTATACTTCTAACCTTTGGTCTTCTGGGTTGTAGTCACTTTTGCTCAGACATAATTCATCTGTTTCCTGTAGCTATGAGCTTAACTTGTTACCTGTGGCTGTTTTCCCCTAGCATTCCATAGCCAGACCACGCAATTTAAAGCATAATGGCACTGGCTGTGGAGTGTCCAAAAACACCACCAGAAAAAAAAATGTTGTTTAAGCAAAGCTAGGTTTTTACAGACTTACTGCAGTAAGAGAGAACATCAGCTTGATCTCGATACAGAATCCAGTAGCATCTGAGAAGAGAGAAGTCAGGGGAGGATTATTTAGGGTTTTAGGGCCTAGTCTGGGTGATTCTTAGGTGGGTATTGAAAGGCAGGGAACTGGTTGGGATTGGGCAGAACTTATGGCACAATAGCTTTGGATTGGTAGGCACCACAAGGTAAGAATATAAAAGCGAGCTTTGATGAGTGACCCGTTAGTCCTGATAAGTCAGCAGTTTCAGTAGCTCCACAGTCTTATTTTCCAGGAGTGGGTATTCACTGGAGCAAGTAGCTGGGTTGTTTTTGCCTGATCTCAGCATTGTTCAACTAAAAACCTATTCTTTATCCCAGAATTGTTTAGCACAGGAACAAGAAAATACATTAGTTTCGGTTCTTATGGAATTATAAAATTTGCTTAACTACAACTTAAACATGCAGAGAAAATATGGTTTTAATATTTTTCCTATAACTGATATGCTTTTATGGGTGAGCTGGTTAGTGGGGAAATAACAGCAAAGCTGATGATGCAGTCATTTAAATAGCCCCTTTAATGGATACCCAGCCTCTTTAAGTAAAAATGCACAATCATTCCAATTTTTCACACTTCTATTTTTCTCTGCAGCTCCTCTCCCAGATAGTTTCTTGGTATATAGGGGAAGGGATGTGACTTACGTGTCTTCTTATAGAAGGAAGAATAAACAGGTCAAGGTCCAGGGCCTCATTCCTGGAGTCTCTTGCTAGCCACTTACCCCACTGGAGTTCATAGCTCAAGTTCACAGCCAGGATAATACTTGTTCTGGTTCCTCTCACTTGGTCCGGGCTGACAGCTCTCTCTGGGTGACTTTGTCTTCCCTCAGCTATAGCCATTTGTAACACACTCTGATTCCTCATTCAATTCTCCAGCCTAGACAATCTATTTCCTGCCATAGAGGCCCTCACGTTAGACCAACTGACTCTATTCTAAGCTTCTCTACTGTAGAAATAGACGAAGACCAACCAAATGAGAAAAGCAAAGGCTATTTATTCAGAGCTTTCTATAGCCAGGGAGTCTGCCACTGTCACTTTTGGCAGCAATGCAAAGGCGGGCAGAGGAGTGGAGGAGCCTTAGGGTGGAATGAAGGGAAGGCTTCAGGTGTATGCTGATTGGAGATGGCTGGCGTGGGAAGCTGGAGGCGGCTGGCTCACTAGGAGGCAGGGCATCCTATGTGATTGCTTAGGGGTGAATATTTGCCTTTCTCTGGTTGGCCCTACATTGGAAGCATGGATAAAAATTAGGGAAGCCGTCCATTATTCATAAAGTTCTGGTCATTTTTTGCAGATTATTCCAGAAGTTACTATTCAGCTTCATTGATTGTTACTAGAGACAGCAATCTGGCTTCCTGAAAGTCTGACTTCAGGCAGACTGGCTTCCTAGGCTGGTTATTGTAGATTAAGGGGGTGTTATATAGATAAGGTAGGCAGATTCCTGCAGATTGTGGGTCAGAGTTCCTTTTTTTTTTTCAGACAGAGTTTTACTCTTGTTGCTCAGGCTGGGGTACAATGGCACCACCTCGGCTCCCTGCAACTTCTGCTTCCCAGGTTCAAGCAATTCTTCTGCCTCAGCCTCCCGAGTAGCTGGAATTACAGGCATGCACTACCATGCCCAGCTAATTTTGTATTTTTAGTAGAAACAGGGTTTCTCCATGCTGGTCAGGCTGGTCTCAAACTCCCAATCTCAGGTGATCCGCCCGCCTTGGCCTCCCAAAGTGTTGGGATTACAGGTGTGAGCCACTGCACCCGGCCAGAGTTCTATTTTTAAGTATGGTCTGGTCATTGTCCATTTGTATATTCAATCTCTCATTACCGGATAGCAACTTATAGAGTCTTCCAGAAGGGCAAATCTCTCCCCAGTCCCACTCCATCCCCTTGACAATGCTCCTTTGTTTTGTCTCAGTGCCTCCTTGGTGTTTGCATTAAATCCTTTTGGACAGTCCTAAATCAGCCCCCTCCCCTTCACTCTCTCTTCATTTTCCCTCTCATCATCTCCTGGGACAAGAAGAGCAGGGCTTGCCTGTCTTCCTCTGTGGTATCTCCTCTTCCCAGGGACCAGCAAGCTTCATGGCCTACCTGTTGTCTCCAAAAGAATAACTTTTCTACCCTGCAGGGGAACTGGTAGATCTGGGTCATTCTTGTTGGTGCCAACTAGGCTGTTGTATTTCTAATTTGTTCTTGAGGTCTCTCTCCAGACAGTGAATATAAACTCTAGTGCTGACTTGACAGGGCTCCAAGGATTTTCCTGTAGATGTTTACAGTGTGCCTTTCTTGGGGTGCTTCTTTGTCTTGGTGGACAGCCTCATGCCTAAGTGTTCGACCTGTGACCAGGTGCCCCTCTCACAGAAAATTTGTTTGTACTGGCAGATGCCCTTGTGGCTCTTATCTGGACTGTGTCCAGTTTATTCCTGCCAAGATAGCCATTCTCTAGAAGACCCATGATTTGGAAAGAAGTTAGGTTCACATGTGTTGGTCAGGTGAGACACAGAGGAGGCAACTCCACAGAACACATGAAATGCCAGAAGCAGCAGTTTATTACTTACAGATCCCAGAGAAAGGAGGGCAGCACGCTTTGCAGGACCAACGGAACTGAGGCGCCATCAGGGACATATGTGCTCACTCAGTGGGCAGAGAGCAAGGAAAAGAGAAAAACCTGTGGGTCAAAGCCTTTATTGGGGTCCAGAGCATTACCGAAGCAAGTTTCCCTTGGGGAGTTCTAATTGGTAAGTTTAGAGCAAGCAGACTGAATTCCATGGAGTTGTGCTGTGGCTGAGAAGTAGTCACTGGTGCACATCCGTGCAGTCCACATGGGGTGTGGAGGTCAGTGAGGCAAGTCAAGTAGGCTGTGTCTAACTGTTCCCTAGGGAGGTGGTTGCCAGGTGAAAGGAGTTGTATAGGGCAGATGTCTGGATTAACCAGCTTGAGGAACTGGGAGGAGGCAGAAAACTGGAAACTGTGCCGAAGAAGATAAAATCCTGCTTCTGTATGAGAAAGTCCAATTTATATTCAAAATGGATGCAAAGATAACATAAAATGATAAGAATTCAGTACATAGGCCAAAAGAGGAGATAAAGCAATTCAGATGGGTCTCAGAAAAAAAAAAGAAAAAGAAAAGTCTTCTTTCAAGGCTATTATCTTGCTTGAAATCCTGTTTTAAATATCAAATGCTGAATATCACTCTTTTTTCCCCTTTGCACACCATAGAACACACCGACAGACCTCTGGGCTGATGACCTTGGAACCAATTAGAAATAAAGATCTATACTTGTAAAATTGAAAAAGAAAATTACATTAATATTTTTTCAAAATATGGCTCCCATCAGAGAAGGTATTCTTCACTATGCTTACATAGAATTCTTTTGTCCTGCTTGCTTCAACTGGCTTTCTTTGGGGGAACAGAGGTTAATAGGGAGAAATGAAGCTATTTCTTGTGCCCTGTTTAGAAATGATCTCTTCCTCTTCATTTTAACTGCTGGAGAATAAAGTCTCTTTTATCCTCTCAGTACAGAGCTTCATCTTCTCAGAAGGTTCTCCATTGGCTTTTCTATTTCCTCCCCATAATTTGAGCTCCCTACCCCCACGTGTTTGAATCTTAATGGAAAATAGATCTGCAACCCGTCACTTTCAAGAATTTTCTTCATAGGGCTCCCCAGCTACTTTCCCCTCTACTGCAAACCCTTTAAAGTTTGTGTGCATGCACATGCATGTGCACACATGTGCATGTAATAATAGGCCCTCTATCCCTTCCTTGTCTTGATTACTCTTACAGACTATATGTACTAATAATTTTATATTTGACTTTGACTGCTATTTCATTCCCTCTAGTTCTAAACCATTATTCTACATTTTTCAGAGGCTTATTATGACTCACTGGGCAGTCAAAGAAACATAATGAGTCCAAGATGATTGCACATGGTGGTGCTCCACAAATAGATATTAAACAGCTCATGAAATCTATAAATGTCCTTACTATACTGAGAGCATTATAAAGCTATGAATCAATAATCCAGGCAAGTTTTTTTTTAATGTTCTCTAAAAATCTAGCTCTCTAGACTTTTTTTCTCCCAGACACAAAAACTGTATGCATATAGGAAAAAGAAAGCCAAAGAAAATGAAGGAAGAGGAAGAGAAGAAGAAGAGAGGGAGAACAAAGGAGAAATGGAGAAGAATACAAAGAGAGATAAGAAATTTTTTAAATGGCATAAGCCCTTTCTCACAGCTTTTTGACAGTTGCCCACATAAGGAATAAACGACAAAAGGCATGAAGTAGGCACTCGAAAAGGATGTATTGAATGAGCAAAGATGTTTTATAACCATATTTTGGACTGAGTTTATACATTGGTTTTCATAGTAACCTCTACTCAATGTTTACTCTGTGCCTGGAACTGTGCATGTATTCACTCAGTAATTTTTAAATGTGAGGAAGGAACTGATATGATCCCCACTTGCCAGGTCATAATAGCAGAGGCCACTGAAGGGAAACAGGCAGGCTGAATGTTGAAAAAAAGCCAGTGATCAGGGCAAGTTCCTGAGGGTACTGGAAAAAAACGAATGAAGAGTTAATTGAGTTTAGTTCTTGATATAGCTTGAATCTGTGTCCCCATCAAATCTTGTGTCGAATTCTAACCCTCAGTGCTGGAGGTGGAGCCTGGTGGGAGGTGACTGGATCAAGGGGGTGTAGTTTTCATGGATAGGTCACGCCATCCCCTCAGTGCTGTTTTCGTGATAGTGGGTGAGTGAGTTAGCATGAGATCAGGTTGTTTAAAAGTGTGTAGCACCTCTTCCTTCTTTCTCTCTTTCTCCTGCTCTGGCCATGTAAAATGTTGGCTCCCCTTTTGCCGTCTACCATGATTGTAAGTTTCCTAAGGCCTCCCAAGAAGCAGATGCCACCATGCTTTCTGTACAGCCTGTGGAACTGTGAGCCAGTTAAACCTCTTTTCTTTATAAATTACCCAGTTTCAGATATTTCTTTATAGCAATGTGAGAACAGACTAATACAGTTCCCCCTTTAGGATCCCGTCTGTTTATGAATGATTCCAACATCTATTAACTGACCCAACTCAAACATCTGGGCATCATTTCAGACTTACTGCCGGACCCAATTCCTCACCAAATTCCTCAATAGTTCTCACACATACTTCCTGCTGCCCCACCACCACTACCACATTTCATATTGTGACTGATTCTTGCGTTGATCATTGAAGGAACATGCCAAACTATCTCCCTGCTTCCAGTCCTGCTTTCTCCCACACTACATACCAGAGGAATATTTTGAAATTCCAATCAGGTTATGTTACTTTTCTGCTTAAAAATCTTTCAGTAATTTCCCATTGTCTTCAGGATAGAGCCCAAACTCATTCACAGAACATACAGAGTCCTTCATGATCTCTCCCTCACCTCCCCTCCAGCCTCATCACTTACCATCCTCCCACCTACCAGTCCTTCCCTGCAGTCACCTGGATCATTTGCAACTTCCCTAGGACACTTTCAAGTCTCTGAGCCTCCACATGTTTCTCTCTGAAATTATTTCTTCCTTCTCATTATTTCTTTCAAGACATTGCGTCTTTTCAAGACATCTTTTAAGACTTAACTCTGTTTTCCTCTGGGACACTTTCCCCATTCTCCTGCCCCTTCTTTCCTTTTAACTAACTGCTCCTTCACTACCTCCAATATATACACATCTCAAAAGTGGTTTTCATGCCTACATCCTCCAGGGTCCCAACAGAAAACAGATGACACCCTCTGATCAAGCTAAATATGAGGAAAGTTTATTTACAAGGAACTAATTATAAAGTTGTGGGTGTAGTTAAGTGAAACTACAGGAACTGGTATAGAAACTCTGGATTAGCAGCAGCAGTGGAGCTCTCATTATCTGTAGGTCATAAGAGAGAAGGTAAGGGAGACAGTAGGTGACTTTGGGATGAGCAGTGATACTTGATGGAGTCATCCTTCCAGGGAGAGAAAGAAATACTCCAGAGCTGCCTCTCCTTTCTCCCTGAGTCTCCTAAAGTGCTGCCTGTCAGTTGAAGCCAACAAGAAACCAGATGGCCCAGGAGTCTTGTTGACGTGGTCCATGTAGACCAATCTCCCAGGGAAGAGCAAAGGTGGTGTAAGGGAGGACAGATTTTTCCTCTACCCTCTTAGGTTCTGCAGCTGGGCCTGAGAATTAAACTGACAAAAGACAGATTAACAGGAGAAAAGCATATACATTTTATTTGATGTTAATATTTTTGCATGGCATAGGAGCCTTCATAGAAAAAAGAAATGAAGAGGCCTGAGACAGTATATACCATTTCAACAAAGAATGATCAACTGTGGAGATGTGACAAGAAAAAAGCAAAAGGAGTTTGGACCGAGGCAGCAAATTGTGGGAAAGTGACTAGGAAATATTGGAGAAACTAGTGGAAGATAAAGGTTGTTTTAGTAGGTTTGTTTGTACAGATTCATCTTGACATTCACTGTCTGTCTTCAGTAATAGGAATGTTCTCTTCTTCCTGGTACAGGGAAGGGAAGACACTTTTTTTGTAGGAAATCTGTGTCAGCTTTCAGGTAGAAAGAGAGAGATCAGAGAGCCTTTCTCACGTCTGCTGTTCATTCAGCTCAAAATAATCAATATGTTAAAGTTGCATATTTTAGAGTGGCATGTTCTGATTCCTATCAGTGGAGAAAGATCGAGTAAACCTGGAGGTGCCCAGTGCCCTTTTTCTGTGCCCCACAGCTTCCTGTGCACACCTCTTCAAACCCATGCCTCCTGCTAAATTTTAACTGCTCCACTCCCTAGCTAGTCTCTCAGCCATGTTGAAAGGCAGTTGGGCCTCTCACCTTTTTTCACCAGTGTGTGCCACAGTGACTGGCACATAACTAATGGTAACTGAACTCAATAAATATTCTCTAAAATTAAATAACAAAATTTTGAATGTATACTTGCCAGAATTGTTGGAGACTTTGGGAAATATTTAGTTCACTCTTCTTATTTCAAAGATGGAAAAACTAAAACCAAGAGGTGAATAGCCTTGTTCAAGAGCTAAAATTAATATACAGCATTAATGGTATTGTATACACAGTATTAAAGGAATGATATACACAGTATTAATTTTCAGGACCAGATTTTAGTTTTTCTAATTCCCAACCTTCCTCTACTACTTAATTTTAACTGTAATCTCAGGTTATTCCTTGGAAGCAAAATTCACACGACTTTTCCATTAAACTAAGAGTCTTATGTTTTGGCAACAAGAAAGAGACAGTGAGAGGGGTTGGATCTGCCTGCTTTGAGTCCTTTGCCAAAAACAATCTCTGAGCTCTCTGGATAAGCAACACTTGCAAACCTAGCAAAGTGCCACAAGTTGGAGTCATGAAATGAAGCGCGAGGCTCGGGAATAACGCCTTTACACAAACTACCTCTGGTGGTGGGTGGTGAGAGTGGTTTTGTTTTAACATCCTATTAGCACATTATCTTTCATTTCCAAAGCCTTTATTGGTTCCAAGCCTACAGGTGGTGATGGGGGGTGGGAGGGAGTTTGAGTAAGATGTTCCTTAGTTGGGAGGCAAAGCTGTTGGTGCCTCCTCATTTGATGAGTCAGCCAGCTGCTGCTGCTGCTGCTGCTGCTGCTGCTGCTGCTGCTGCTGCTGCTACCACTGCTGCTGTTTTTTTTTTTTCCCCCTTGGGAAATGCAACCATTGCTTCTGAAATGATTGCATGCCAAGTGCAAAAGATGGAAGCATTGATCATACTGGATTGGAATCACCAGTTTATTTATCTGCCCTCACTAAACTGTGTGCTCTTGGAGAGCATAGATTATGCCCTTTGTCTAGGTAACTCCAGACCCTGGCCAAGTGTCTAATGCTTTTTTTGGTGACACTACAAAAAAATGGGGAAAAAAAAATGCTAGGTGGACTTGAGAACATGGACTCAGTGGTCAGGGATGCAATTCTAAGGCCTAGCACTCTGATGAGCATTCTTATGTCTTCTCACTTCTCTAGCAGAGGGTGGTTCTAGTACCATCATGCAGCTGTTGCAATGATCCAAGAAGATTGTGTGATTGAAACTTCATGTGATACAAACTGTAAAATTTGGGTATAGCTTAAATTTCCCAGGAGCTATTGGCTAACCCCATGACTTTGGGCAAGTTAAACCACCTATGAACCTCAGTATCCACAGCAGTAAAATAAGAAGGTTAGAAACTATGATGTACATGGTCCTTTTCTGCTCTGAAATTCTCCTAAATTTCTTTGCTGTCAAACACCCCAACTCTCTTCTTTGACAGGGTAGAAGACAGTCCGTGAAGCTGCCACTAAAAAGGATAAAAGGAACTATGTGGGTTTATGATCACAACCAATTATGCTACTGCCAAAAGAAAACAGCACTGAATATTTTAGTTTCTCAGAGGACGTGCAATGTTTGAAAATCATCTTCCTTCTTGCATTAAAAAAAAAAAAAAGAAAAAGAAGAAGAAAAGTGGGAGAACCATCACATTCTGTGCATAACTTTTCTACTTATAGACAAAATTTTCAATTCATTTTTTTCCTTTCTGGAGGTGTGAGGGAAAATTCCCATAGCTGTAGGAGTGTGGAAGTCAGGGGACTGTAGGAGAATGTAAGTGTGATCGTGGGACTACACTTAATTCATTAAAATGTGTGGTTTATAAAAACCACTTTGCCAAAAATGAGCTTTGTGGGAAGGAGAAGGCAGCAGGGATATGGATGCGTGGGGGAAAGGGAGGAGTAAGAAGTGCCAAGAGAGAAGGAAGTCTTATTTGTTGCTAAATGTTGAATCCCACATAAGAATATGTCATGAGCCAATTTAGGGAAATTAAAATGCAACTTGGGGGAGTGCAAATCTATTAGGCACAGATATTACGTGTTGACATTATTATCATCCTATTTTTATATAAATTGTGAACATTCTCCAGTGACTTTAAAAAGTTTGGGGAAACTTTATTTTTAGTTATCCTCCTTTCACATTTTCTCCTTTTCCTAGGTGAAACGGCAGTCATATAACAACATTGTGCTTTTATTCCTTTCCTGTCAATACTGTGAATTGTTTCGGAAACAAACTGTATTATTTAGGTTAACATTGGCTGCTGTAACAAATAAACCTCAAACTTTTGTGACTTAACACAACAGAATTTTATTTCTCATTCACCAAACAGTCTGGTGCAAGTATTCCTGGTAGGCACACCACTTTCCTCAATGAGATAACTCAAGGATTGAGGCTCTGCTATGGCTTGAATGTGTCTCATCCAAAATTCAAGTGTTGCCAGTGTGATAGTATTCAAAGGTAGGGCCTTTAAGAGGTGATTAAGCCATAAGGTCTCTACTCTCATGAATCAGATTAGGTGTCCTTATAATAGGTCTTGATAGAGGAAGTTTATCCCTTTTTGCCCTTCTGCTATCTACCATGTGAAGATACATCTCTTCTTCCCCCAAGGGGTTGCAGCATTGAAGGCACCATCTTGGAAGCAAAGACTAGACCCTCACCAAGCAGTTAACATGCTGGTGCATTAATCTTGGACTTTCCAGCCTCCAGAACTGTGAAAAATAAATTTCTGTTCTTAATTAATTACCCAGTCCCAGGTATTCTGTTATAGCAGCACAAAGCTCAGGCAGGCTCTTTACATCTTGTGGCTCCACTATCTCCTGGGAACTGGGAGTCCTTAGGTTCTAGCCATATAAAGAGAAAAAAAAGATGGAGAAGGCACACATGCTTCTCAATGGTCGTGGTTCAGAAGTAACAAATACCAATTTTATATATTCTACTGACACAACCCAGATGCAGGGGTGTTCTGGGAATGGAGTCTCTGATCGGGGAGCAGGGATCAGGGATCAAAGATCAGGAAAGATTCCAGGGTGAATATTTTACTAGGTGAGAAGGACCATGAATTCTGACAAACAGTTTTTGCTGCTCCACCCACTCCTCATCATCACTGTTAAACATAAAGAGAAATGGCAGCACTTTTTGTCCATTGATTGTAACTCTTTCTTTAAATACTTTTAAGGCAGAATCCTAATTCATCTCTTCTATGAAACTTTCATGATTCAAAGGGAAGTCCCTGCATGGGCACTGCCAGCTTCTGCCTCTATGCTTTTTCCTGAACCTTCTCCACCTTTGGAATGTACTTCAGGTAAGACACCTGTGCCTGATCCTTGTGATCTCTTCTTGCATCGGTTATTCCTCTGCTTGTTCACCTCAGGGGATCCCCTCTCTCAGAGACATTTTTTCTGTCAAAGAATTACTAAGCATTCACAAACTAGTGGGGAGATAGCTTTTCTTTAAGAAATCTCTTGGCAGGCAGACCCCCCCAAATCATACCCAGGATATCCCTATGTCAAAACTCACCAGGAAACAAAGGGTTCCTTTTCCTTATTTATAAGTCAATGTTAGAGCCAACTCTATTTTTAGAGGTGTAAAAACTGAGATCTAAGGAGGTTAAGTAGAGCTTTGCCTGAAATTTCACAACTAGTTTGTGAAGAACCAAGCTTAGGATCCAGGAGTCCTGACATTCCACTAACACTCTTTCCATTCTGTCATAGAGTCTTAATAGCCCAAGGCCACGTGAGCCAATACCAGTACGCATTCTCAACTCATGGAGGAGACAGACACTTAAGTGAGTATGTGTATATACATGTGCTGTGTGTGATTATTTTTTCCTGCCAGGCTTGTCATTTCCCTTTACCACCCAACAATTATTATTTCTTAGAACATGTAATATTGTTTTAGGTCTCCACTATATTTCCACTACGGCATGGCATTTGCTGGGTGTATTAGTCTGTTCTCACATTGCTATAAAGAACTACCTGAGACTGGGTAATTTACAAAGAAAAGAGGTTTAATTCGCTCCTGATTCTGCAGGCTGCACGGAAGCATGGCGGGGGAGGCCTCAGGAAACTGACAATCATCAGTGGAAGATGAAGAAGAAGGAGGTGCATCTTACATGGCCAGAGAAGGAAGAAGAGAAAGAGGGGGGAAGTGCTACACCCTTCTAAACAACTAGATCATGCGAGAACTCACTGTCATGAGAATAGCAAGGGGAAAATTTGTCCCCAGGATCCAGTCACCTCCCATCAGGCCCTCCTCCAACACTGGGAATTGCAATTTGCCATGCGATTTGGATGGGGACACAGAGCTAAACCATATCAGTAGGTGACTAGTTAGTCATTTTTTTCTTTTACACAAAAGCTAGTGTTGACATAAATTATCATAGCATCAAAGATACCTAGAGATAAACCAATTAAAAATATGCACAGGATATCAATGTCAGGTCTAAATATTATTGAAAGAAATTGAGGAAGACCTAAATAAATTTAAAAATACATCACTTTTATGAACTGGAAGGATCTCATCTCTGTAAATAAGTCAAACCTCTCCAAATTGATCTACAGAATCAATATAATGCCAATCTAAATCCCAGGAAGGTGTTTTGAGGAAATTGACAGGCTGATTCGAAAACTAATATAGATATGTCAAGTCTTAACAGTAACAGAGACAATCTTGAAGAAAAATGAAATGGGAGGATATCATGACTCACTTTTAAAAGTGAACCAAGTAAAACAGAGTGGCATTGGTCATGGGATAGAAAAATGGACCAATAAAAAGAAATGAAAATCTGGAAACAGATCCATGCATATATGTATACTTGAATTGATTTATGACATAGGGAATCATGGGGAAAGGATAATCCCTTAATAAATGACACTGGTTCAATTACATATTCATATGGAAAAAAATCTTGATCCCTACCGCACACTATACACAAATATCAATTCCAAATGTGAAAGGCAAAACAATAAATCTTCTGGAGGGTTTGGCAAACTTTTTCTGTAAAGAGTCAGAGAATAAACATTCTGGGCTTTGTGTGCCATAAGGTCTGTTGTAGCACAAAAGTAATCATGGGTGATGTGTAAATGAATGAGCATGACTGTATCCCAATAAAACTTTATTTACAAAAACAGTTGGCAGAATGGATTTGGATCACAGTCCATAGTTTGCCAACCCCTGTTCTAGAAGTTAACATGGGAGAATATCTTTATGATCTTGGAAGAAGATTTTTAAATAGTCACAAAATGTCCTAATCACAAAGGCAAAGATATGTTGCGGTCCTTTAATTTTACGACATTCTGTTCACCCCAAAATACCACTAAAGTACTGAAGAGGCAATCGATATAGTGGGAGAAATTATTTGCAACACATAGAACGCATGTCCAAAATATATAAAAACTACAAATCAATAAGGAAGACAAATAACACAATGCCATGTTCAGACACTTCACCAAAGGTAGCCAAATTGCCAATTAACATTTTCAAAGGTACTCAACTTTATCAGTCTTCAGGAAAATAAAAATTAAAAACACAATGACATGCCACTACACACCTACTGGAATGATCATAATTTAAAAGCCTGACAATACCAAATGTTAGCAAGGATTTTGAACATACACACTGTTGATGGAAGCATACATTGGCACATTTCCACTTTGGAAAACTCTTTGGCAAGTTTCCTCTAACGCTGAGTACTATATGCACACTTTCTGACTCAGCAATTCCACTTGCAGATACGTACTCCCACAGAAATATACACAAAAGACATGTATAAGAATGTTCGTGGCAGCATTATTCATAATAACCTCAAATTTTAAACAACCTAAATAACCATTAAATGGACAGTTGAATGGGTAAATAACTCATAGTATATTTATAGAATGGAAAACTATTCAGCAATAAAAATACATGAACTCCTTTTACATGCAAATCTACTGAAACTTTCAAATGTAACAGTAAGTGAAAGTAGCCAGAATTGAAAGAACACAGAATGTATGATTCTAATTATATGTGGCTCAAATACAAATATAAGTAAAACTAACCCATGGCATCATAAGTCAGAACAGTGGTAACCTTTGGAGAGAAGGAGGAGCATGATAAACTGGAATATTCAGTGGGTTTCTTGGGAGCTGATAATGCTCTATTCTTTAACCTGAGTGGCACTTACACAGGTACATTCATTTTGTGATAGCTCACTGGACTATATACTTATGATCTATGTAATTCTCTGTGTATATGCAATACTTCATTTAAAGGTTTTAGAAATCTATTGGAGAAAAAGAAAAAAAAAACACTGCCTCCTGTTCCAACTATATGTTTCAATCACCAGAGCAGGTCAGACACAATAGCTGTACAGATGCTTAGGTAGCACTGAAACGCTACTGGACAAAGAAACATGGCTTACAAGTGTTCACATGGTCTCCTTACACTGGCTCAAAGACCCAGCTGGCTCTAATACATTAAACTTAAAAGGTCACCAGGCCTGGTGACCACCTCACAGAAGAAATAGATTCTAGATACACCCAGAGAAGTTTATCTCAGAACTATCAGGTCAGGAAAATGAGGTTGTGAAGTCAGAACTGTAAAACAATTCTGTTCTCTAGCAACTGCCTTATGTTGGTCTCTTTCCTGCTCCTATTCTCTGTTAAGTCTTGTAAAAGTGGTTTTACTCACAGGACAAGTGGTTCTCTATACTAGGCGGCTTAGATTTAGGTTTCCCTAAAGATGGGATAAATTGATTGCATATATTTGGAGCTCTATTGCTTTTTAATACCCAATAGCAAAGAATTCTATACCTGAATCCTAGAACTTCAATCTTCATGAGACAGCGAAAGGGCATTTTGACCCTCCCAATCAAAGTCAAAGAATATTTATTCCATCTCCTTCATATTTTCCTCTTCTTGTCCTTGAAATCTTAATTAAAACTTCCTAAATTCATTTCCTCTAAGTATACCACAGTAGCCAGAACCCTTATTGGCGTTGAGAACTTTCCTTGGCACAGGTATAATTGCTCCTCTGTCAGTGTCCGGTGGAAGCTAACCTGAGTGGCATGTTTTCATAAGCTTTGGTGGTTGAGAGGATGCCACCAGGATGGCAAGAAGGGGATGTGTCAAACACCTCACCTTGAAAGGAGCACAGGCCTTGAAATCAGGCAGACTGAAGCTCCAACACAGTGCCCAGCACTCACTAGATGCTCGACCTTAAACAAATTACTTAATATAGTTTAGAATCAGTTCCTAAATTATAAAATAAATAAAATAGTGTTTATCTGGTAGAATGGCATAAAGTAAGAAGAGGAGGAGGAAGAGGAGGATGAGGAGGAGGAGGAAGGAAGAAGACCATAAATAGCACTGCTGTGTGCCTGGCATTGTTCTGTGCGCTATATATATGTTGACTTATTTCTATGTAAGCAATCCTAGAACATAGGCTCTGTTCATATCACCAGTTTATAAATGAGGAGCCCAGGCATAGAGAAGTGAAGGAACTTGCCTGAGGTCAGATGGCTACAAAGTGGTGGAGGGAGGACACTGATCCAAGCAGTCTGGCCGCAGGGTCCACGTCCTTATGCACAACACCCAACTGGTTTCTTGCCCCTAGAGTAGATCAAGCATGGATGACTCACTTCAAGTAATGCTTCTTTCATCCCCTTTCTCACAAAGCTCAATGGCACATCTAATTTTTAGGTTTAGGAAGAGAGAAATTAAGAAGATCCTTGTGTGTTTCTCTCATTTAATAGCACCCCCTGTATCTTACTTTCACCTCCTCAGTGAACGACTTAGAGAATAGGGCTGCTTTGGTAAGTTCTTTACTCAACATGCACATGATGAGCACCTATGGCACGCCAAGCACTATCGTAGGTAATAAAGGAGCCAAGGGGCCACGCCAGTTTCTTCTCCACTCTCCCTCTCTCACTGGAATCATAAGTCCATATGAAATGCTGTGGCCTCAGAACTAAAGAATAAAGTCTAGGCCAGTGACAGGCCAATGCTCATACAGCCCTAGCTTGTCCATCAGCTGCCAGAGAGGTCTGCATGCATCCAGAACTAAATCCAATCCGGAGTTATGTGGAGAGAGCCTACTCCAGCCTGGATTTGCTCTTGAAACAGCAAGTACATTGTTCCTAACTCCAGGCCACGCTTCAGTGGCAGCTCATGACCCTCCAGAAATTACTTTGCCTTCATAGAGCAGGCTATAATTTTAACTCCCACTCCCCTGCCACCAACTTTATTTTTTCATCAAAAATTAATTTAAACAACACCAATGAAAGCTCAAAATCCATTCACTCTGATTGGCAAGAAAGGAAAGAGAAAAGAAAAGCAAAAATACATTTTGTTGTTTGCCATACCTGAACTGGCAGAGTCTTCAAGAGTTGTACTGAGGTTGGAATTTAACACTCCCTCCTCCAACACAAACACTCCTGCGATGGGGGGAGGCGGGGGGATGTGCTCACTAGGCCACCCTCAGATCTGTGCGTTGACGGTGAAAACAAGGCCCTAAAACTCATGTCCAGCAAAACTTGAATAAGTCACGACCTACACAAGGCAAACCTTGCTACCGACTGCTTCTCCTTTCCTCTCCCCACTTCCATCTTTTTCCTTCCCACAGAGCTTCTCCTTTCCTTCACAAAGCTTGGGAAGCACACTCTGTAGAAACTAAACTATACATGAAAATCCAGGTCCCAGTCCACCATTCCAAGGCCATCAGTACCTTCAACAGGGGAAGCTAAGACTAAGAAATGGGACTTGGAGAGCTTTCCTGAGACCTCCTTTCCCGTCCTATCTGCATTCCTACAAGCCCTTGTCTGAGAAGTGTGTATTAAGATGGAATAACCAGTAGGACTTCTGGGTATTTCTCTCTAGGCTTCTGGCCCAAGCTTGTATCTTCGGAATGTTCCCAGAGTTGGCCCAAGGGCCATGGTGATCATAGCAAGTCCAGGCTCTAGTGATGTGGGCACTGTGGAAAGTTTCCTGGGGAGTGTGTCATGTTGAATCAAATGTGAATGCTTCTCCTAAACTAGATGTTCTTGAAGTTTACATAAATAGAAGGCAGGAGAAGCTCGAGTAACTGCAGTTCTCCCCATTTGAATCATTGGTTTTACTCTTTGCACTGTGTCCAGTGCAGCCCACTCTGCAGAGCAATAGGAGTCAATCCCAAGGCTCCAAGGGCCAGGCAGAAGGAGAGAGCTGACAGCTCCCAGTAAAGGAAAAAGCGGGGTCATTGTCCAGCTTTCTGGAGTTGCAGGATTAGTTTTCTGCTGGACTCCCCAAGTGGCAATCTACAGGCCTCTTTCCAGAATTACCAGACTCTGAGGAGACAATAAGAAAGAAACTAAAACAATTTTTGAAAAGTTTTCCAAAGTTGGTGAATGCTATACAAAGCCCCAGTTGACTTTGATATTTGCTCGGCTACAGGGAGAGGGGAACACGATGTGATTTGTGGGTGTCTTGGTTGCAAGTTTTGGCCAAGGCCTGGGTTGTTCCGAATTAAGACTGAGGAAGCAAAATTTCCCTTAGGGCCTTGGTACTGACTTTGAGCTGGGATCTTCTAGAAGACCCTGTAGAGTGGAAAAACAGTTGCCTATTATGCTTGTGTAACACAATTATAGATTATTTCACTCTGGGAATCTTTATGAAATGACCTACGAAGCCTGAACCTCAAAATGTTGAGAAATCTTCTAAGCTGAGGGGATGCTGGGTTGATTCTGGGTGTTGGAACTAATATTTCCACTTGGGTTTTGTGTTCTCTGAGGTTGGACTCCCCAGAAGCAGACCCTGAGTGATTCACTTAAGGAATATTGCCAGGAAAAACTGGTGAGAAGTGGGCCCCAGAAGGAAAGGAGGACGCCGGGACAAGGTGCAACACTGAGCAAAGCCTCAGGAAAGGAAGTGCTGAGATGTGACTTACCGTCTCTCCAGATCTTCCTGTGTACTGTCACTGCTGTCCTGGCCAGGGACCACGGAAGCTGGAGTATTTACACCTCCCTCTCACCTGTCATTCACCAGTTAAAGACTGTCATTTCTAGAAGGAAGTCAATCTTCATTATTGCACTATCAAAATAGTTTCTGGACTGAGGGCAGCTCTCTGATAAAGAGATACAGCTGCTGCTTGAGCACAGCTGGACCTGGGTACATGAAAATAATAAAGGGCTTGTAAGGGGAATGGTCCAAACACTAAGTGAGTCAGCTATATATTGTCTGGACTTGCTGTGGACTGAACTGTGTCCCCACCAAATTCGTACGTTAAAGTCTTAACCCCTCAATATGACTGTATTTGGAGATAGGCCTTTAGGAGGTAATTAAGGTTAGGTGGGATCACAAGGGTGGACCCCTAATCCAATTGGACTGGTGGCCTCGTAAAGACAGGAGGAGACACCAGGGATGTCTCCTCCTGTCTCTTTTCATGCACACTCAGAGGAAAGGCCATGTGAGGACACAGCCGGAAGCCAGCTGTCTGCAAACCAGGAAGAGAGCCCTCACCAGGAATGAAATTGCCACCTTGATCTTGGACTTCTCGCCTCCAAGAGTGTGAGAGAATAAAACTCTGTTGTTGAAGACACCCTGTGTGTGGTATTTTGCTATGGCAGCTCTGGGCTGGCAAGGCATTGCTTTGGGTCAGTCATACACAGGGTTGGTACATTTATCTGTAAGAGAAACTCCACTGATGCAATCCGTGGTGCACAAGTACCAAAGGCTGTGAGCGGTCACCGTTGATTTGTCAATGCTGTGGGCCCTGCCATTGGTCCCAGAGTTAGTGTCAGCCAGTGGTCCTTTGGGGTCTTCCCCTCACCTCATCTTAAAGTTTTTGGTTCACATTCCCTCTGCTTTGCTTGACTGCATGGAGGTGGGACAGATGCTGCATTTGCAGGAGGGCACCAGTGCACTTTTCTGTTTTCTCCCCTACTTCCCAGTCATTCCAACTGAAAAGAATGCATAAAACCAGATTCTGAAGAACCAGCATGTCTTTTTAAACTTCTTGGCCACCTGTCAGTGGGTGGAGATCCCACAACAAAGCAGGAACTATCTAGATTATAGATGTCCAGCCAACCTGCTCGCATGGCCCGAAGGTGAGGCTTGAGCTCACAGTTGCTAGCCACTGAGCACCCAGGCCATGCTGAGCACAGCACCACAGGGCAGAGACTTCTGAAGTTACAGCCTTGCCACTTAACAGCAAGAAAGAGCTTCCTGAAGCCAAAAGCTCAACTATGTGCTGCTCAAGAATGGCATGCTGGTCGTGGCAGGCAGTCTACAGAGGAACAGAGAAACTACATGGAGAAGCAGACCCGGGCTCCGTGTTACCTCCTTCTCCATAACTGTGGGACTGGCAAGGAGAAAGGAAAGTGGGGTAACAACCAAGAGAAGAGCCCAAATGACTGCTTTTGTCCAGGCACAAATATCGCTAGTTATGCCATGCCCCCACTGAGCCTCTAGATCCTTGTCAAATCCTCTTCCGCAGACTAAAAATAATCACTCACATACAAACAAACGTAAATATATTTTTAACATGCCTCAGAAAACCCACCTTCCTGTTGGGTTTTGGGGCTGTCTCTCCAAGTCAACTGGCATATCACAAAAGCAACTGCAACTGCTTAGAACTTTCCACCACATACAGGCAAATGTGACCCCAGGTGACATCTGACTGTGAATGCCAAAGTGACTTGCGTTGTGAGATTAGAATCTCTAACTGCCTTGTGGTTTCAGAAAGCAGGAGAGGCCAGAACTTAAGAGAGGGTGAGGGCTTAAAAATTCAAGGTGAAGAGTTCCAGAGAAACCCACACATTTTGAGGGTCATTTGTGTGGCTTCCTGCGGAAGGTTTTAAAAGCCGGAGTACAGTACTGTTGAGACGTTAGCCAGTGGAAATAAAGGAAGCCCGCCACCCAGCCAAGCAGCTAGCTGGATGGCAGCCCCCAGTTGGGGATGGTATTTCACCCTGTGAGGGCAGGCAGCGAAGGAAGAGAAACCAACCAACTGTCACCAGTCTGAAAGAATTTGAGGGCCAGAAGGATAACAGCATGATTAAAAAAAACAAAAAAAAGTATTTTTTAAAGGCATACACAGGACATATGATCCCTAAGTAATAGCTCATAATTAATAAAATAACCCTGTGATCCTGCCAAAGTACTCTTTTTCTAACTCATTTGCAGACATTAGATGCCTCTTACCTCTTCTTTGCATTCATCATCATTCCACAAAAATAAGAGATTGGGGCAACTAAGGATTTGCATCGACGGGACATTTTGTGCTTTTCAAAGAGCAGTCCGTTCCACCGAGAGGTAAGGATAACATAATTAGAAAAAAATGTGGGATGTGCCCATGGCCAGGTGTGGTGGCTCACGCCCGTGATCCCAACACTTTGAAAGGCCGAGGTGGGAGGATTGCTTGAGGCCAGGAGTTCAAGACCAGCCTGGACAACATAGTGAGACCCTGTTTCTACAAAAAAATTTTAAAAATTAACCACGCATAGTGACACATGCCTATAGTCCTAGTTACTCAAGGGACTGAGACGGGAAGATCACTTGAGCCCAGGAGTTCCAGGCTGTAGTTTGCTTTGGCCACACCACTGCACTCCAGCCTCAATGTCAGAGCAAGGCTCTGTCTCTAAAATTAATTAATTAGTTAAAAAAAGAATTGTGCCCAAATGGCTTAGAGCTAGTTAAGTGACAGATGTATTTTGCTATGGACCAAAGTTAAGGTTGTTTGACTCTTGGGCACTTCTTTGGCCATGAGCTCCTGCTTCTGGTTCTCCTGATAAAATGCTGGAGGCTCAGTCCAAGGTAACAAGCAAGAAGTGGGCTCAGGAGGACAGAGCTCTGGCTTCCCAGATGCACATTCATTCACAGGCTCCTACCACTGCCATTGCAGGTTCCTTGACTTTGGCCTTCAGTCCTGACTTATTGTAATTTCTCTGCTTATGGGTAAAATGAGGAATTCCTGTCACATTGCCAACACCACCCTCTTTCTTCTCACCCCAAGGAGGGTGCAGAGAGGGGGCAAGACCAAGCCTGCCCAGAGTTGGAGTCTGGAGACGTGAGGTAACATTGGTTCCCCATCTATGCTGAAACCTGAGGGAAATTGGCAGGGCTTATGAGGAGGGGAGGGCCGGCCTTGAGATTTTCTTTATGTTTGGCCTGGATGTAGTCCAACCTTAAACTCAAATGAAAACTTGAGAAATGTTATATTACCAAAGACCGCATGTGTGTGTTTTGAGATGAAGGTAATGGAGTGGGTGGTGGCAGCCAGCCACAAAGCGCAGCTTCAGTCCGGCTAAACAACTAAACCCTCACTGAAGAATCCAGGCCCTCATGACCGCACCATAAGGAGGTGTCTTTACTACCCCAATTCTTGTATTTTGTGTTTGCGCCCATCCAGGGAACTCTTAGAACACCTGGGTCCCAGTCCCTCATGTGGTTACTCACCTGAGCTAAATCTCTTCATGTCTCTGATCCTCAACTTTTCCCATGCTCTAAATTAGAGGTATAAATCGAGTGTCAGGGATCTTTTCGTTCAAAGAACCAAGTTCTAGTGCAATCACTGGCAAATGTAATTTCTAAATGTTAAAAGTCAGCCATGCTTCCAAGATGCAATTGAAAAATGACAAATGTTGAGAGGCTCAATGCATTTCATTTCTTTTTCAAAGGGCCTTTCCTATTTCAGGCAACCGTGCCTGCGGTGAGTATGAGTGTATGAAAGCATATGTTTGCAAAACAGTTGAAATATTTGCGTATAATAGCATTTTCACAGCAGTTAGTATAAACAGGGAGAAACTTAGGAGTGGCTTTTCATGGGTGTCTATGAAATGACAGATTGTGCAATTTTTAGGAAGAAAAAAAGCTTGAAGGGAAAAACCCTAGAGGCAATAATATTTTGACCTTGAGAGAAAAAAATATGCTAGTTTGTGTATAGAAAATAAACTCTCCTTCAAAGTTTACGTTCAGAAAAATCTTGGTTGCTTGCTCATAAATAAATTGAGGACAGAATTGTTGATTATTGAGGTTAATGTTCTTTTACTAAAGTGGAAACATTGTATGTAATTAGATTAAGAAGAGATTTCAGTAGAAAGAGTGACCATATGAGTAATCTTGAGTCAACAAAGGCACATTTTGATTTTATTAGCTAGCTATTAGAGCAATCTTTGGCATTTTATGTGTGATGCAGAGCATCAGGATGTAGCTGTTGAAAGTCATTTGTGTCCGCTGTCTGGACTAATTGAGCGACAATAATAAAACGCTGTTTTTAGATAAACAATGGGTGGCGGAGCTCCATCGGTCCCTGCAGGGAGCGTGTTGATGCCTTTCAAAGAGCAACTGGCTGAGCTCACGTGCCACAGTCATTTCACAGAGGAAAGTCAAGTCGTTTAAATCAACTAAATTGAACGCAGTTTTGAAATGGAAATCAGTAATCCCAGTTTGGAGCTGCCTCCTTGTCAATGGAAAGCTAGAGGCTCGGATCTCCGTCTGGTTCTCTCCCAAGTCTTATTCAAAGGCAGGAGGCCCCTGAGCCACACAGATTTCAAGTTAGCAATACCAGGGAAAGGAATATCACGTGTCGTATGTTTTGTGTAGTGCATTGGTGCCGAACAGGCTGACATGGAAATATCATCATAAACCCAAGCTGCCTGCTCTATGTCCCTCCCTTCAGTGCACACAAGATGGGCCCTAGACAGACGGACAAACAGAAGGCTTCCAGGAGGATGTAAGTGGGTAACGTGCTGCTGCCCTTGCCCAGTAGGAAGGAATTTCTCTTGGAGGCCTCCCTCCTCCTCAGAATGTGCCCTTTCTCCTCCCCCCATGCCCTTTAGAATAAAGCATGTCCAGAAGTGAACCTCAACTTTGCATCAAGATTAGGATCTCTGGTTACAGACTGAGAACAGAAGAAAGCAGGCTGGCATCCTCCGACTCACTTTATCTTAACTTAGGATCACACAACCACCAGGCTTTTGTGGCAGCCAAGGGGTGGCAGGGGGTTCTTTAACATCTGTCTCTTTTCAGCTATCAGCGTTGTGCAAACAGCCACATGACCTAGGGAAAGACAGTGTGCTGGCTTGACAAACACGGCTTTGAGATAGGTTCACTGCACTCCACAAATGCATCTTCCTCACCCTGCTATAAAATTTTGTTATTGACCAGCACAATAGCTCACTCCTGTAATCTCAGCACTTGGATGAAGCCGAGGCTGGAGGATCACTTGGGCTCAGGAGTTTGAGACCAGCTTGGAGAACATAGTGAGACCTTGTCTCTACTAAAATTAAAAATAAAAAATTAGCCTGTAGTCCCAGCTACTCAGGAGGCTGAGGTGGGAGGATCACTTGAGTCCAGGAGATTGAGGCTGCAGTAAGTGGTGACCATGCCACTGCACTTTAGCCTGGATGACAGAGTGAGATGGTCTCAAAAATACACAAACACATACACATACACAAACACACACACACATATAGTCACCACTGAGCTTTAGGAAGCAGGGTGCAGTCCATTGACATTTTCATTCAGTAGCTCTTACTTGAATACTTGCTAGGCATAAGGTCCTGTGCTGCCTGCTGGGGAGATGTCCTTGCAAAAGACCAACACATGGCACTTGAAGATAGATAGATGATTGATAGATAGATAGATAGATAGATAGATAGATAGATAGATAGATAGACAGACAAATACAATACAATAGACTATTGGTCTGTTGATACACGTTTAGGAGGTCACGAGTGGCTTTCCCCCTCCCAGCACACCCTAGATCAGTCAGTTGTCTTTTAGAGCTTACAAGGGAGGAAAAAAAATATTTTTTCTACTGTTCTTCTAGATTCTTCAGCAGGGGCCTATAAATTGGGCTGACAAAAGACAGATTAGCAAGAGAAATACAAGCAGCAGATTATTAACATGTGCATCCTGATTACACATGGAAGTACCCAGAGGTGAGTAACCCAAAGGAGTGGTTAGAACTTGGGCTTATATGCCACCTTAACATAAAACACAGGAAAAGGGGTTTCTGGGGGAGGCAAGTTATGGGATGGTGACCAGGAAAAGTATGGTAGACAAGAGTTGTTTAGTAAAGTTTGTTATGTGGATTTAAAATAGTACCTTCTTCATTGATAAAAGTTGCTAAGAGTACTCCTTTTCCTGGTATGACAGAGGGAGATATCTCTACAAATCTAAATTTCCTTTATTAAGGGAAACCATGTGCCTTGGTTTTAGAGTTTTCCTGAGACTGCTGGTTCTCAGTGGCCTCGAGCTCAAAACAATCCATACGCCAAAGAGGCATATTTTGGGATGGCATATTATGGTACCTCTCAGGCTACTCCTCACACTATTTTCACTTGACTTCCTAGTCACCTCATCTGGTCTTCACCTTGGACACTAGAGAAAATTCTCTGGCTCTGTCATAACCAAAAGCACAAAGTTCTTTCTGTGCATTCCTCTGATCTAAACCGTTGTGACAGATTAAAAGTAGGCTTTGTACAATCTTTAGTTGATGACTCCTCTGAGTCCTGCCCCTCTGGAACACAGGCCAAGACAAGCAGCCAAAACATGTCTTCACCTTCTCTCTTAAGAGCTTCTTCCTGACTTTCTTGCATCTTGGATATATTTTGGTAATTTCTCAAAAAGTATCTGCAATGGTTAATTTCATGTGTCAACTAAACTAGGCTATTGTGCTCATTTGCTTGGTCAAGCACCAGTCTGGATGTTGCTGTGAAGGTGTTTTCTTTTAGATGTGATTAATATTTTAAATCAGTAGACTTTGAGCAAATTAATTTTTCTGCATAATTTAAATGAGCTCAGAGGACAGAGCATCAAGCCAAAGATGGTTATTCTCAAAGCTTAAAATCTAATAGAATTTATCCTGCTAGGTTTTGAACCTGCTCAGAACTTTTGAGTCCCCTTTTCCTTCTGATTTCTCCTTTTTGAAATGGGCGTGTCTGTCCTATACCTGTCCTAACATTTCTATCTTGCAAGTAAACTTGTCTGGTTTCATAGGCTCACAGCTAGAGAAAAATGTTGCTCCAGAATGAATCACACTGAGTGTCACACACACCTCATTTAGATGATATTTAAATGAGATTTTGAACTTAGAGTTGATACTAGAATACATCAAGACTTCCAGGAGTGTTGGGTTTGGGTGAATGCATTTTGTATGTGAAAAGGATGATCCAGAGGCTGGTCTGTGACAGGCTGAATTATGTTCTCCTGACCCAAATTCATGTTTTGAAATCCTAACCTCAGTGCCTCAAAATGTGACTCTATTTGGAAACATAGTTGTTGCAAATATAATAATTAGTTGAGATGAGGTAATACTGGAGTAGGGTGAGTCCCTGATAACAATATGACTGGGTACCCTTATCAAAAGAAAAAATTGGGGCCAGGCGTGGTGGCTCATGCCTGTAATCCCAGCACTCTAGGAGGCTGAGGCAGGTGGATCACCTGAGGTCAGGGATTCGAGACCAGCCTAGCCAACATGGTGAAACCCCATCTCTACTAAAAATATAAAAATTAGCTGAGCGTGGTGGCGTGTGCCTGCAGTTCCAGCTACTTGGGAGGCTGAGGCAGGAGAACCACTTGAACCTGGGAGGCAGAAGTTGTAGTGAGCTGACATAGTGCCACTGCACTCCAGCATGGGCAACAATGAGTGAGACTCTGTCAGAAAGAAAGAAAAGAAAGAAAGAAAGAAAGAAAGAAAGAAAGAAAGAAAGAAAGAAAGAAAGAAAGAAAGAAAGAAAGAAAGAAAGAAAGAAAGAAAGAAAGAAAGATAGGAAGGAAGGAAGGAAGGAAGGAAGGAAGGAAGGAAGGAAGGAAGGAAAGAAAGAAAGAAAGAAAGAAAGAAAGAAAGAAAGAAAGAAAGAAGAAAAAATTTAGACACAGACACACACAGAGGAAAAACACCATGTGAAGGTTGGATTCATGCTGCCACAAGTCAAGGAACTACCAGAAACCAGGAGGGAGGCCTGGAACACTAGATCCTTCCCTGGTGCCTTCAGAGGGAGCATGGCTCTGCCAACATCTTGATCTTGGATTTCCAGCCTCCAGAACGATAAGACCATAAATTTCTGGTTTTTTAAGCCTCTCAATTGGTGGTACTTTGTTATGACAGCTCCTGTAAACTCATAGAGTGTCCCTTCCTTGTCACCTCTGCATTGCACTCCCCACTGGATCAACACCTGGAAGCCCACCTTGTTGGAACCCTTATGTCACATAGGGGTGACAAGAAGATCTTGCCTCTCAGCCCCAAGTTACTGGCCTTTCTAGATTTTGCGCCCTGCCATTAGCACAACTATTAGCATGTTCGTAACACAGACACGTTAGGATTGCTCTAGCTCCAAGTCATAAAGCCCTCTTAAAAAAATTAAGCCAAAAAGCGTCAAGTGGCTTAAGCACATCAGCACCTGAAGTATAAGGATTTTATCCTATACTTTTCCTGCTGAAACACACATTGGTTTAAAAACAAAAGTGAAAGGGGAGAAAGCGGCCTCAAAACTTATCTTTGTGTTCACTGAAAATGTTGGCACTGTCAGGGCAAGGTTACTCTGCAATGCTCAAGTGCATGTTCAGTTAACTAACTCTGAACAGAAGGATCCAGATTCTTTCTTTCTTCAAACGGTTGCCTCTGATGAATTAGGAATACAGGATGAAATAAGAAACACCAGTTTAGGAGTTGAGGACCCGGGTTCACATTCTGACTGGATCTCTTACCAGCTGCATGATCTTAGATAAACGCCTTGTCAAGCTCTTTGAGCATCATTTTTCTTATCTATGAATGAGAGGTAAAAATCCCATCTCAGGGAGGTATAGACTTTCCCTTTCTTAGGCCTCTGATTCCTGGAAGTGGGGGAGCATTTTAGCATGAAATATCCAAGTTATGCAGTGAGGATTCATCATTATTAACATGAGGAAGGGTTGTCTTATCGATGCTCCACCCTGACGATGGGAAAAGACTACAGGGAACCACCCACGGTTTCCCTTTGGGACCAGCAGTACCTGTCGTCTCCCAGGGGAGGGGTCATGTTTTGTGGAGTCTAGAGCTTAATTAACTTGGGAGGTCATTTTGAAGGAGTAGAACTCATAAATTCAAATACAAAAGGAGGTGCAGGGCTTGAAAGAGGCTTGTGTTAGCGACAGGCCCTGCAGCATGAGCTTCCTCAGCTGCAGAATAAACCTAAGCACGTCCCCTTTGGGATACACGGAGAGTAGACTCAGGACCTTGGGCAGAAGAGTGAGGAGGAAAAAGAGAGAAAGATTAAAATGATAATAATAAGAGGATTCTAGAACTCCCATCTGAAGCTGATTCAGTATGACTGGAGTGTCGATAAATGTCTGTATTCAGGATGTCTATAAATGACTGCTACTAGATTACATTTCTTCAAAAAAATTTTTTTCTGCTAACTCAGTAGACCTGAATGCCTGCTCAGATCTGAAAATAGTCTCTTATTTTGTCCTAACGTGACGTTAAGGGTGGATTTCTTTTTATGAATCTCCCATGTGTAGTTGGGACCTGGCTTCAGTTCACGTGTGGCTCATCCCCAGCGGTCATACTGAACCTGGGCAGGCCTACGAAAAGCCTGTGATGGGGTTCAGGACATGCTCCCTTAAAATACAGCACCTTGGCATTTGGGAAAAGCACAGAAGCAGGAAGTTCACTTCTACCATGCCTTCTCCCTTCTCCCTTCTCCCTTGAAGCAGGTCATAAGACCTCATATGACAGGTGCCCTCCTTACTCCCAGAGAAAAGGAAGGAAGACACAGAAACACCAAGAAGAATATGGACAAACAGGCCTTGCTAAGCTCCCCCCATCCCCTGTTTATTACCATGACATCATATTCCCTTTGTCCAATCACACTTTCATCAAACCTGAACATGAAAATACACAGGTTTCTCTGTTTGGGGGGTGGGTCTTCATTTCTGAAGTTTCCATGTCATGTAAAACTTATATTAAAGAAATGTGTATTTTTCACCCCTGTTAATTTGTCTTGTGTTATAGGGATCTAAGCCATAAGCCTAGGATAGATGAGGAAAAGATACTTCACCTGTTCGTCTGAAGGCTGAGGGATGGTTCTTATCAGACTGGAAGGAGCCATGCACCGAGAAGTTGACCCTGTAACAAGCCCTGGAGGTGGGAAAGAAGGAGGAATTCAGAAATGCATTCAGCACGTATTTATTGACATGTGCCTAAGTCCACAAGCACATATCAGAAGCCCTTGAGGCCAGTTATGTTTTAGAATTCAGAAATTTTCAGGTTTTAGAAAGGCAATGTGCATAAACCAAATATTATATAACATCCCTAGAGGGGTTGGAGGCAACACTTTGCAAATCAAACACGGTATTTCCACAGTCCTGTCTCAGCCAGATATATGAATATTCACACCAAGTGGGATAAATGCAACCTTACTTCACCTCGTGTTTTGCCACCAAGGTGGTTACAAAAATGTTTGTGTTTTTAGAGGTTTGGGGATTTTAGAATTATGGATAGGGATTGTGGACCTGGGCCAGGTGCCGGGCAGTGTTCTGATGCTGGGGAAATAGCACTAACACGACCAGAGCAGAGGCCTGAGGGAGCTGGTAGGCTCTGAACGAGGGATGGTTCCCCAGTGGGGCCCTGGCAGATGCAGGTATAATCTCCATGGGGAGAAGGGGAGATTTTTAAAGGGAAACAAAACAAAAACAAAACAAAACAACAATAGAAATGGTGTTCCATTAAAGCTCTAGAAAACATTAGTGCATAAGCTTGAATGCTTTAAAAAATATCTCCAACAGAAAATCAACAGAGAATAGGGGCTCCCTCCCTCCTTCCTGTTAACAATAGGCAGCTCAGTGGCTCTGGTGACTGGAGGGCCATGGGCCTCAGCTGGAAGATGTGAGTGCCCAGCAGACTGGACGGGCACAGCTGATGCCCACCCGACAGAAGCAGACCCCGATGGAGAGAGACCCACTCTGAGTGGTGGTTTGTGACTGTGTGTTGGGATATGGGGGAGACAAAGGTACCCCTGGGACAGGTCGCCAGAATATTTCCTGGGGTCTATAACCTATAGGAACCTGTAGGAACTGACATATACACATATGTCTATGCATGAGTGTTTATATATATATTAACTATTGGGAGGAAGACTTTTCGTCTATTCACTTAGTTTGGAGTGCTTGGGGGCCTGCAAATTAACTAGCAATAGACAAATTAGCAGAAGAAAAAAGGAAGTTTATTTACACGTGCATTGGACGTCACTAATGAGTAACTCACTGAATACCCAGTGGTAAAGGTTTATATACAGGTTGAATATCCCTTATTTGAAATGCTTGGGACTTAGAAGTGTTTCAGATTTTGGATTTTTTCAGATTTTGGAATGTTTGTATATGCATAATGAGATACCTTGGGAATCTCAGGCCCTACGTCTAAACACAAAATTCATTTATGTTTTCCATGCAACTTATACCCATAGACAGATGATAACTTCATACAGTTTTAAAAAGAATTTTGCACATGAACAAAGTTTGTGTTCCATTCATATATGTGTCTGGAATTTTCCACTTGTGGCATCCTGTCAGTGCTCAAAAACTTTCTGATTTTTAGAGCAGTTTGGATTTTGGATTAAGGATGCTCAATTTGTACCAATATAACAAAAAAGGGAGTAGCAGGAATTTACGGATTCGATGGGAAAATGTGTAAGGTGCTGTGAGTTTTTCTTGTGCTAATGGGAAGGGACAATTTGTCCACTTCCTGGAATTCGCAGGAAACCCCTCAAAGCAGGGTTAATAGCAGCCTGTATTTTTGAAAGACTCTTTGTTAGTCAGATAAGGAAAGTTCAGATAAGATTTTAAATATTTTCACCTCTAAACAATCTTTATGCCAAAGCTGCCATCCCTTCAATACATATATGCAGCACACACATACGTAATATGTAATATATATATGTAAATATATATGTAAATATATATTATGTAGGTATATATATACATGTATGGTATGCCTATATAATATATATTTATACACACACGGGATATTCTGTACTTACACCGCTTATGGCAATTATTTTTAAAATCTCCCTCTGCTTTTTCTCTTGTTCACCTCTGCCCCCTCCCAAGATCCTGGCTTGCCCTCCTGAGGCCAGCAGGGTCAGGACCAGATCGAGGATAAATGAGGAGGTTGCAAAGCGGCATGTGTAGATTGCGTGGTTTGCTGAGAGCCTTCAGTATGATGACAGGGTAGTGCTAGGCTCTTAGGTTCGCCATGAATCTAAGTGCAAATCAGGCTTGGCTCAAGCTCTTTACCCTCTAAGTAGATTTCCCAGGGAGTTTCAGAAACATCAGCACAGGCGGGATGAATTTTCCGAGAATGTGTGCTCCTGCATTAGTGGGTATACGCAAGAGCCAGAGAAATCTGGGCTCTCACGTTCACTGGGCTCCCACTGGCTAGAAAACTCAGGGTCTAAACTCCAGTGAACATTCTCAAAAGAATCTAAGAACCTCACTACCTCTTCCTACATTGTGTGGCCACTGTTGACTCTCTCCCACAGCACTCCCAGAAATTGTTCTGGATTTTTTTTTCTAGGAAACAGCTTAGGGACATTTATCTTTCCCTGTCCTCCTTGGGGACAGCATGTGTGGACCACTCCCCACCGGTTGGCATCTCAGCTTAGCCCCTTCGCCTCATTTCTGCTTCTGCAGAGAGTTTCCCACAAAATTTTCCCACTAAGTTTTTTGTTAGCGTTTATCGAGGATTTCACCAGCAAAGCAAAAGCCTCTGCCTGCAGGCTGATTGGTTGGTCATGAAAGGAAAGGTAAGACATTTCTGATGAACGGTCCCATTTGAGAAGGGAAAAGCAGCCCTGTGGCCAAGTCCCCTGTGAGTGTTTTGGTTCGCCTAGTAGACCGCTTCTGCCAGTGTTTATCCAGCACAGGGAAGGTGCTTTGAATAGATGTCTTTGCTGACACGGAACCCTTTGCTTTGTGAATAGGGCGATTACTAAACAATGAAGCTATTACATTAGGAGCAGGAGCTGGCTGGAGCCAACAAATCTCCTCTCCGTTTACAGAGCTATAATTATCCAGAGTTTTAAAACACAATGGTATCTGCTGAGAGGGAACATCTGGGAGGGAACCAAGCCATCCCAATTAAAGGAGTGATGCACAGCCCCATGGATTGGATGACTCCACATTAATGGGGTGGCAATTTTTTTAGATGTCACTCAAGTTAACAAATGTGCTGAAAGGTTTGAGCAGAACAAATGTGCAGGGGGAAAAATCAGATCAAGAAGAGAGATCTGTTTTATAAGAACATCTACAAATTGGTTGCAGAAAGCATTCCAGGCTGCTGTTATGAACACTAATCAAGAGAAAAATGTTTCATGAGGTTTTTCCCATATGAAAATAAAAGCTTTTTCCACTTGCCATTTCATTTCAAAATAAATTCTTTTAACCTCCAGAGGACCCCGCATAACAGAGTGGGGTGGGAGGACAGCATTGCGGGGAGGTCTGAGTGGCTCGGGGTTATGGGGCTGTGCCGGCACTTAGGCTCACCATAAAGATTAGGGGAAATCAGTTGTTATGAGAGATTGGAGACTCGATCCTATAAATAGATTTGGCCCAGATAGTAGCATTGGACTCTGTTTTGCCAGTGAAGGTTACAGTATGTGCTCCGCCATAACCATCTGTCCTAAAATGGGTATGGGCCACATGCTTAGGGCTCCTGAGCACTTCGAGATCTAAATCAAGGGTCTATTCCACCTGTTACGTAAGTTGAGGGCAATTCTTCCAGGTAAAAAGAGAAAACTAAAAGAATGGTTATGAGGGCAGTAACAAAATCAGACAAAAGAATCTCTCATTCATCATCTTATACCTCTGGGAATGTTTGCTCTAATGGAGTGAGAGTTCCATCGGGGGCGGGGAGGCGGGCCACCATGGGGGATTATTTCTTCAATTATGCTTCCTTCCCATCTGTTTGGGGGCACTGCAGCAGCATCACACAGGGGCTCAGCTCAGTTCTGAAGGCAGAATCCGGGAAATGATTTGGGTCATCACAGGCTATACCGCAGAGCCCACAGTAGGCTAAATCAGGAAAGTGGGGTGCTTGCCAGGTTTTTCCCAAGCTGTCCTTTTCTGGCCCTTTGCTGATGCTCCTGCTGCAGTGGAGTCCCTCCCCACTTTCAGAGCCCTGTTGGTCCCCCTTCTGATTGTTTCCCACAGAAGTACACTAAAACATGCTGTCAGAGCACTTGCTAGCTTTCACTTACTCCAAGGGGAGAAAAAGTTTAAGTCTCTTTATCAACTTTCCCATAAGTATTTGCATGATGATTGCTGCAAAAGCAGTATTATAACAACATAAAAAATTAATAATTAAAACAGCTACCAATCAACCCACCGCCCTACTACCATTTGAGTACCCCTAAGCCCATTTGTTCACTGAGGCTTCACCTGCTTTTTCCATTCTGCTTTGTTAAATATTTGCCTATTTCTAAGTTTTACTATGGAAGATAATACCACCATCAACATGTGCATTCTTTTTAACCTTCTGTGAAAGATCTCTCCAGAAATCTGGACCAATGCACAGTACTGTGAACTGAATTGTGCCAAAATTCATACATTGAAGTGTTAACCCCCTGTATTTGGAGATAGGGATGTTAGAGAGGTAATTCAGGTTAAATGAGGTCAGAAGGGGGCAGCCTAAATCCTTATGACTGGTGTTCTTATAAAAAGAGAAGGAGAAAGCAGAGCTCTCTCTCTTCCTCCATGTACACAGAGGAAAGGTCACTTGAAGACACAGAGAGAAGGCGGCCATCTGCAAACCAAGGAAAAGGCCTCAGGAGAAATCAAATCTGCAATGCCTTGGTCTTGGACTTAACAGCCCCCAGAACTGTGAGAAGATAAACGTCTGTTGTTTAAGCCTCCCAGTCTGTGGCATTTTGTTATGGTAGCCCAAGTAGATGAATACATACAGTGTTGGGGTTGAAAGGTGAGGAAGAGAAAAGCAGCCTTTGACATTAGGAGCAGGCCTGGCCCTCACAGCTAGCCCATGTGTTCTCCTGCTGAACACAAACAATTTCACAGAAATCTAACATCAGACAAGGCCACTCTGAGGCCACGAAGGATCAGGACAAGAAAAAGACCACTCCACAATCA